GAGAGAGAGAGAGAGAGAGAGAGAGAGAGAGAGAGAGAGAGAGAGAGAGAGAGAGATCAAACGCAGGGGACGCGAGACCAAAGGGCCGGCCGCAAGGCCGCAGAGAGCGCGGGCGGGAGGACGTGTCATGGGAGGCGAGGCGGAGGGCCAGAGGGGCCAAAGGCAGGGCAGGGCAGGGCAGGGATCACAGAGGGACACTCTCTCATGCCTCTTGGCAGCCGCCTGCATTTGAAAAGCAAATGGGTCGCGCAACACAAATGAGGTGCGTGCGGCCGCTGCGCTTCAGCGCGTGCTCACCCACACCCGCGCACACACATCCATCCAGCTCTCTCTCTATATATATCGCTCTCTCTCTCTCTCTCTCTGGCTCCCCTCCTCCTCCCCTCTACTCTCTCCCTCACACACACACACACACACACACACACTCACGCGACTGCCTACAACACCACGCAGGCGTCCGCACGCGAGCCAAATAATCAATTGCTGGTATGACAGCGGGCAGACAAGCGTGCCTGTGGCGCGGCGGCGCCGGGAGGAAGGGGAGTGGAGGGAGAGGGCCACCGCAATGCGCGATACACGACGCTTTTTATTTTTTTATTATTTAATTCACTACACGAGCGGACCGAGACGGGAAGGGGAGTGTGGGCCTGTGGGGATTACAGCCAATATGATCGGGCGCAAAAAAAGGGGGGGGGACACAATCGCGAACAGCGCGAACAAGAACAGTTTTAGCATAGAGAGAGAACAAAAAAATATGTAACAAACACAATTGGTATTGAAGAAAGGAAGGAGTGCTTTATATAAATGGTGAACTTGAATCTTTTGGCGTTTAGTCATTTCACAGTTGGTAACTGCGTACGGCTGGCGGGGCTGGCCGAGCAAAGAACGCAACCGAGTAAAATGTAACGCGGAAAAACATTTTATTGATAGGCGCCGCGCGGCAATTTCCCCCCACACTCCGCGCGCCAGCCTTTTTACCATCACCTTATTAAAACTGGGTAATCCTGTTTGCGCCCGGCGCCGCCTAATCCCCTCCGCAGGCGCAGCCCCACGAGCGCCAACGTTCAGAAAACACTTTTCCCTCTCCCCTCCCACCCCATCCCAACGACGACGCCCCCTCTGCCCGCTGTGTGTGCGAACCAGAGGCGAATACACATGTTTCCGAGGAAAACGCGAATGGATCGCATTCCATTCAAACGCCAAAGAGGAAAACGGGCGGCCGCACGGCTACATCGCCAACAGTTCGGACGGGGTTGTTCTGGTGTAAACAATCCGTCGCACATATTTAATCTGGTGCGAAACAAATTACGAATGTGAAAAGTCTATTAAAAGAAACCATTTTCCCCCAAACGTGTTCTGTTTTTCTTTGAGCGATCATTTGTCGAGCACACACGTGTCGCGCAATACTAAACTTGACAGAGCAAGTTTGATTCCCCGGATCCGTTGACAAGGCCGGCCGGCCCCCGCCACGCTCCGCCACGCTCCGCCACGCTCCGCCACGCCACGCCCGGCGGCGTCCCAATCGATTATGCGATGAACCACTTTGAGAGGGTCTGGGGGAAGGGTGGGCGCCGCGCGAGGAGGAAGAGGGGTTGAACGTTACGGAACATTTGATAACAATTACCGAGCGGGCGGGGAGGCTCGAGGGTGGATGCTGCCCCGCTCCGCCCCGCGTCAGAAGGCGAGCCGGCGGCGAGCTCTTTACGCAAGACCCCCCCGATCGTAATTGGCCGCGCCGAGAGAATGGCGAGACGAGCAGGAGGAGAGGGTTGGGGTTGGTGGCCGGCGACAATCAACTGAACTAACCCCATTTGACAGGTTTCGAACACATTTCCGCGGATTCGACATAGGAGATCTAATTCGGTTTTGACTTTGAAAATATAAACAAACACTATTTGTACACACCTGTTTATGCATTTCTACGTTGAGGCCGTATGACATCTCGTAATACTGAAAACAAGAAAAAGAATACACAGGTTATACAAACGAAATGAAGAAACGGCGAGGATCAAGACTTGCAAACGAACGAAGAAATTTCTCCGTTTATGGCTTGCCTATGACAAGCCTGTTTACTTTGATTACGGTTACTTCAAAAAATAGAACAGATAAAAAAGGTAAGCGCACACAGAGCTATGGGTATGGCAAAGGGTGAACGGCTGTTTGAGGAAAAGCAAAGGAACACTGTGAAAAAACAATACAGCAAATTGTAAAAAATGGTTGTACTTCTGCATTACAATTAAAAATTGAAATGCCAGTCAAGAAATCTTACAATTCACAATAAAATTTAAAATTTACACTTTTACTACTGTGTTTAGAATGTAGTTTTAAATGTTGTTACATAGTAAAATTAATTTTACAGAGTGAGGCAACGCGAGATAGTCGTGTTTGCACAGCTTTACCACATTGTTCCAGAGGCAAATAGTTGCTCAGACTATCTCCCTTCCCGTGACGAAGCGACAACTACCAAAATGAATACACAAGTCCCAGCGACAAATATAATTTTAGACACTCTGAGGCGCTATTTCCCCGTCGGTTGAGTCTTTATCGCGAAACCACAACCGTGGCGGAATGAGGAGGCGACCCACGCAATTCCATGACCCTTAACCACCACCAGACCAACTGCGGCGGCAAGCCACGGGCTAGCCACCGACAAGATATGAAAGCAAAACAATAAGGGTCACTCACCATTACATAATGCCTCTGCATTTCCGTTTTCTCTTGGGCTATTTTTTCTATCTCCATTTTCAAACTGTGCGGGGAAGGTGCAGGGAGGGAGAAGGGGAAGAAAATAAAAAAGGTGTTAATAAAAGCGTTCAAACATTAGGCTCTTACCATCACATAGTGCCTCTGAATCTCTATCTTTTCACTGGCCAGTTTCTCGCACTCGAGCTTGAGGCTGCAGAACAGTAGGGTAAGACATCAGCTGACTACTAGCGTTATAATTTTTTAGACATGAAATTTCGGAATAATAATAATAAATTTAAATGTAGGTTAAATTTCACAAAAGAAAAAAATCCAGAGCACATCAGTAAACGGCAAAAAATAAGCAGAACACGATTAAAGACATAGTTCATTTTTCATTTCATTTCACCCACGGAGGCGCGCAAGGCAGCCCCCCAAAAATAACTACAACACTTACTTGTGGTACTGTGCTTGTAAAAACTGAAACTCCTCCTTGATCCGGTCACACGACTCGCCGACCGTGAACTTAAACTGCTGGCCCGGCTGTGGGGGACCCTGCAACACGCGACACTCCGTTAACAGCGGCAGCAGAGAGGGGGTGCAATAGAGAGAGAAGAAGAGAGCAAGAGAGAAAGAAAAAGAGAGAGCAAGAGAGAAAGAAAAAGAGAGAGCAAGAGAGACAGAAAAAGAGAGAGCAATAGAGAGAGGGAAAGGGGGAGTTGAGTTGAGCAGTTCCCTCCCCCGCGCGATGCGCGTCGGGTCGTCGTTAATGACGAGCGCTATCGCGTGCGCGTTCACACCTGGCGCGCCGGAAGTGGGGTGGGGGAGAGAGACAGACATCGCCGCGTCGTCAGGCGAACCGGATGACAGGCGTGCGGTTACACTCGGCGGGCACGAAAATAAAATAATAATAAGCGGCTCCGCGCGGGTTAGGCACGCCATGCGGGGCTGCACGAGGCTCTATCAGACACACGACGACGACGGCGACGGGTCAGAAGAGGAGGGTTTATCGCCCGGGGTCGGGCCGCGGCCGGGACGGGAAGGAGCGGAACGACTACCGGCATCTTCTCTCGGAAATGTTGAAGACATAATATGAGAAAAGGGGACAGAGGGAGGGCGAGAGAGATGAATAGAAAACTTTGGGGTTGGCCTACGGCTTCCTAGGAAGGACTCAGGGCGCCCGGCCTGGAGGGCCACCCGCCGCGTGGAGCCGCGCTGCGGGAGTGCCTACCCGGAGCTACTCAGGCGCTCCTAAAGAGGGGCCATACCGCGCTGCACGGGCGGGAGGCGCACGGGACAACGCTGCGCACGATGAAACAGCGGAACGGACCATCATGTGCGGCGAGGGCGTGACTGCGGCTGCGGCCGGTGCGGACTTTCATCCAAAGTGTAATAAATGCGTGATGCACGCCGATATGAACGCCTCGACTCGGCACCGCAAAACACGGCACCGCAACGGCATGCGGGCTCATTCCACAAGGGAGGAGGAGGGAAAAGGGGGGAAGGGGGGGGGGGGTAGACCGAGAAGCGGCTGCCAAGCCTATTACCAACTAATACGGCAAAACATGCCAGACGTGATTTAGCACGGCTTGTGCTCCCGCGCGCCACCGCGGCGCGCTGCAAAAACTTTCACGGCGGCTGATTTAGCGCGCGCGCGCGCCGCGCAGGCCGGCTTCATTCCGCTAAATTGGACGAGGCGCGGCGGCTGAAATGTAATGAAAATGTCGGATAAATAAGAAGAGCCCGAGACGTGAGCACGCGCGACCTGCCGCGGCCAATCAGGGGGAACGCGGCTCGGACAGGAGAGCGGGGGGGAAGGTTCAGTTACGAAGCAGCGGCGGTGTTTCCGCACCCAGCACGGCGTCCGAAAGTGTTTGATGCGCGGACTTTCCGGCGGAAAGAGCGAAGCGGGCGGGCGGGCGTGGGGGGAGGGAAAAGGCCAAGGTAGCGAGAGGGAGGGGTCGTGACCGCAAGGGGCCAGACCACAACCGCACCACGCCGCCGGCACCACAGTCAGCGGCTACGTCCCACCTGCTACAGCCCCTCTACTATAACCTTAACACGCCACGTCGTCGCGGTGAGCGAGCGAGAGGAGACGGAAAAGGAGGCGGAGACACAGTGGGTAAATTTACAACTTCAAATTGTAGAAATACAAGCACTATGCATCGATTTGCAATTCACTGACGAGCAACAATTAGATGTCGTAAACTTACACCATATCTATAAATCGTAAATACAAAATATGTTTTAAATTTACGAAGATATTGTTACAGTGACGGAAGACGGAGAGGAAGAAAGGATCAGGCAGGGGCGGCCATAAATATAGTGTTTTGAATATTAAGATCAGAGAGAAGGTTTGAGCATTGCAGAGGTTGTTCCAAAGGAGGAGAAAGCGCCTGGTAGATAGGCAATGATGTGCAGTTGTTCTGGGAGGGTGGCCTATCTTAGGGTCGTTAGGCGCCCCCCACTGATCAGGCTAATCGAGAAAACCGAGTACGGTCTCGCTATTTACTGCAAACTTGAGCGCAAGTACGCAGCAGTAAATACTGAATACTTGGGCGCACTTGGCAGGATCAACAGCAAGCAAGTCAGTGCAAACTTACATTTGTTCTAGATATAGGTATTGATGGTTGGACGGCAGCATCATTTAATACCTGAAACAAGAGAAAACAAGACCTCAGTAAGGCAGTACTTCACGAAAGTAAACGCTGCACAGAGCGAACGGAACGGATGGCGTGTCTTCATAACCCGCTTCCGAAATGCCTTGCGAACTTTTCCCCGTAAGCAATTATATTTTCCAATACCCTTTGCAGCACTAGCTAGTGCATGTTAGATATTGGTAATAATCAATTTGGAGGAGGTGTAAGCATAGCCCTTAACAGAGGTCGGCATCGGCTCCCAAACCCAGCCCGTTCCGTCCCGCACGGCTCTGTCACCCGTCTCGTCCCGTCCCGTCCGCTCTCGGTCCGGCTCGCTCACTCCCGCTCGCCGAGACTCGCTCGTGTCAACGGGTCCCGTCTGCTGGCCAGGCGTGGCGTGGCGTGGCGCGTAGGCAAAGTCGGTCCAGCGCCACGCCATGCCACGACCTCAGGTGACCGGCAGGCGGGGCTCGGCCACTCAAACGGGTCCCGTTCGCTCGGCTGCAGTCGGCGAGGTTCGGCACATCGCCATCGCTACCTCGGGTTTCTCGCTCTGTCTCTCTCGCACACCTACTGCGCACGGCGCGCGCTCAGAGTGGGACTCGTTCAGGAGCGGATGCCGACCTCTGGCCCTTAACGGGTGGAGATACCTGAACACTGAACAAATATTCCTCGCAAAAGGGCAACTAAACGTTGTCCAAAGATAGGGAGTGAGAGTGAGAGAGGGAGAAAGAGGAGAGAGAGAGAGACCAGCTGAGGCGCGCCTGGTTGCCCCTGCCCCACGGCACTCCATGAGGCCGATTAGCACGCCACCCCTTTCCCCTCGCCGGCCCCGCCCCGCCACTAGCGGCACGCCCGACATTATAAGGGGGAGGAAAAGGGGGGGGGGGGGGGCTACCGCTTCTAGTGGCGGGGCGCGGCGCGGCGGAAACGCGGTAGTTAGCTGCTCGACACCCATGCAATCCCGAGCGGGCGTGGCGGCGGAGCCCACAGTCCGAGGAAACTACACCGTTTTGGAAGAAAATGACAAGTAAAAAAAGAGGCCGCGGCGTGCTTTTTATTTATTTAATCCCAGGGGAAGCGGTAAGGTGAGCGGCGAAGCGTAACCAATCTGTCTTCCCTCCCTCGCTATGCTCACTTTGCTCAGCCCTCCTCCTCCTCCTCCCGTTCGGCAGCGTGCATGTGCGCGAGACTCGCGAGGCCGCCAAAGTCGAAACCCATTACACAAACTCATAAAGAAAATAGACCTCACTGAGCGCACCATCACATTGTGTAAGCGCATCGCGTGCCTGAAAAAAACTCTCCCGGAAACTTGTCATATAGATGACGCCGGATGAACAACACGGAGGCGCGCTGCCCGCCCCGCCCGACTCGACACTACCGTGGGCCTGCGTGTGGAAAGACCGCAGACATGGTCGGGCGCCCCGCCGCGCCCCGCCCCGCCCCCGCGGCGGACTCGTGCCATAAATTCCATCAAGGCCCAGATAATCGGCGTGGCCGCGCCGGCGACTGTACAAAACGAGGCGATCGAACAGGGCGATGGAAACATGCGAGATACGATCGGCCCCGGTGTTTGCCCGTCCCCCCGCCTGCCCATGTGGGCACACCCCCCCACCCCACCCACTGGTGGCTGTCTAGAGCACGTAACTAACCACTTCCGAGCACAAATCGCAAGACGTCACAAAAAAATAAAAGAAACGAAAACCCATCCATGGAGGGGCTTTAGATTATTGCGACTTAATGCCAAGTAGTTCGAAAGCCCTCTTCATGGGTAATGCACGGCGCGGTTGCGCGGGCGGCGGCGGGCGGGCACAGTTGCTTTCGACGGTATCTCATCTCGATGACATGCTTATGTTTTCAGCTAGGAATTTACTGACGTAAAAACACCACAAGATTGGTTGTTTTATTCCATTTAACGACGTTATTTGCTAAAGCCGTGAGTTTAGCATTGTTGCTTGTCACGAAAACCAACCAGACAAGAGCAAGTTTCAATGTGAATTACCGAAGGACAAAAATTAGCCGACTGCTGAAGTCTGTTCGAAATTCGCTAGTTCGCAGTCGACTAGAAGTTTGATCTTCAAGCACTTGCAGTTATGATGTTGAAAGATTATGCCATACTTACATAAGGTGATATTTCTCTTGAGCCAGACACACTCCGAGGTGATATACTCTGGAAAGATAAGAAAAACAAATTGTTACTTCGACGCGCATAATTTAAATTTTACACTTCAACATCAATAGATTTCGAATTATGCATGAGAGCCACCATCATCAGCTGGAAGAAGTGGCCTAAAATCCATAAAAATCTCGGTGGTCATGTTGCGCAAAAAGCTTGGGCAATTTACATAAGGACAATGCCGAATATTAAAAATCAGTCGTAGAAAATTCCACACAATTTCCAGTTTAAAATGATAGTAAGCAACGTACAAATACAAGAATTTGCCCAAAAAATTTATGAGAGGACGAAGTACATTTAGGAAGGTAAAACTTAGCCTTTACAACAAAGCATGGGGATTGTCGGATTGTCTTGCCCTGCAAATACAAAATCATAGAGGGGCTATATAACATCCAAAAATAACAAACTTTACATTACCAAGAAGTTTGTCTGATTTTCCTGAATTTGTGTTTGCATGCCCAAGCCTAATATTTTAATGTAGTTTTGCTAAAAACGAGAATAACCAGGGTCATTTTCCTTTTCTTCAAAACTGGCTCATCAGCGGCGGTTGTTATTAATGTTCTATGAAAACAGTATTTTCGGCTCTCTCTGCAGTGCTCGTGCTTTATCTATATCCCCACTTTAATACGTGGGTGGAAGGAGTGTCGCGCTTGATTTGACGTACGTGTCAGACGCCACCTTCACTCTCATTCTGAAATACTAACACCGCAAGTTAAATACACTGAAAAACTAAGGTAGGACTTAATGCCTCTCTAGTGTTAAATTGTAATGCCTTTGGAGAGGCACAAAAGTGTCCAAAGGCATTACATTTTAACACCTGTGGGCAGTTTTAAAGCCTTTGCAAGGGGTGGTAATTTGTGATGCCTTCGAGTCCAACCTTTTTTCCCCAGTTGACTCGCACCACTCTTACAGGTGCTACAGATGCACAGCTACCGAGTTAAAAACTTTCAAGTATTCTGAAAATTATGCTGATCAGCAGTGCACGGAAAATGTTAGTCAGAATTCTTGCTCTCAGGAGAGCCATATCAGTGACTCTCCTGAGGCCAAGATGATTTTCCTCACTCAATTTGAGTCATCACTGAAAATACCAGAGTGAGATATCTTACTCTCAGGAGAGTGAGATCAGTGACACGTGACACAAAAAAAAACTTACTCTCCTGAGAGCGAGGTATCTGACTCTCACTCAATTTGAGTCATAATTTGCGGTCCTCACCCAATGAGAGTGAGGTTCCTCGCTGCAATTGGGCGAGGTCAGGGAAATCTTACTCTTCCAGAGTGAGAATTCGGTGCATATGACTCAAATAGGGTGAGCCTTATAGTCATCGCTCTAACTGAGCGAGGCAAAATTGTCTCACTCATTGCGAGCACGAACCTCACTCAAAGGTTTTCAGTGATAATTTACGGTTCTCACCCAAAGTAAGGTTCCTCACTGATAATGTGCGAGGTCAGGAAAATCTACTTCCCTCAGAGTGACACGAGAATTTCGTGCTTATGACTCAAATAGGGCGAGGCTTATAGAACGAGGCAAAATTGTCTCAGCCATTTCGAGCACGACACCTCACCCAAAGGTTTGCAGTGTGCCCTGTGCCCCTGAGCAAACACACCCTAATCAAACAGTGTGCTTAGCATGCTGCTCCATCAGCGTGAAAGCAAGCACCTAAGCAAGCAAGCTGGTAAGTAGAGTCTTCTTACAGGCACATTATTGTAGGAGCAGAGCCAAACCAGACAACTGGCATGACAGTGCAGACGGTGCATGTGACACGTTCGATTGCCTCTAAGACAAAACAGTTTAGGGTACTTTTTCGGGTGACGAAAGAAGTTCTTTAAAGTTAATTTCCTCTTCAAAATAATCACCCTTTCTTTTACCGCATGGGTTAGGGTTATTCAGCCAGGCCTGGGTCGACCATGTCAAAATTACGTGATTAGACTATTAGGTGAATGAGCAGCCAACTGTATAGATGTTCGAAATACTGTAAGCTGCTAGATATTCTGTGGACGAACCAAAACAGGGCCCTTTTAACGGGCTGCTTATATTCAATTCAAAGAATATCACAAGAACTCTGGACATTTCCAGGACGCGATGAAAGTGAATCATGGCGCAATCCCAACAAATTTTCAACAGAGTACAGAAAAACTCGGTCGACGTTTTCTTACTGGTTGGCATGCCCGGCCGGGCCCCTGCGCCGTGCAGTAGCGCGACGGACAAGTTTGGCGCGTGTTGCTGCGCGGGCCGGCCCGCTCTGTATGCGCAAGCTGATAGCTAAGTCCACCTAAGTCTTTTCAAACAAGCCCGGACCTTTCAGCGACTCATCGCCTCACGCAATCCAGCTGCGACCGACGGACCAATATCGTTATCGCTATACATGAGGCAATCGCCCAGACCTACATTGTTGTGGAAGTTTGTTAAAACTGTCAGACTTCCGTCTGCAAATCTAACTGCTGCGGAAAGTTTGAGGCAGTGTTTCCGTAATCGCAAATGACGTTCACACGTTTTTCTAGGTTAAAAAAAAAAAAAAAAAAAAAAAAAAAAAAAACAGACCTTCACGAATAAGAATTCGTTGTGAAAAAAATCAACAGAACTCTTCGCCGGTTTTTGTGGAAATCAATAAACTAAAGAACATTTCCCCCTCCCCAAAAAGCTTGCCCAATTGTTGTAATTTACGTCAATATTTTTGTAAGGAGGAAACAATTACTCTACGGTTGCACAGGAGTGTGAGGCAAGCGACAACGTGCACAGCAGGCGCGTTTGTAGGTCCGACTGACGAGGAGGCGATGTTTAATAGTGGGTTCTCCAACGTGGCATAAAAAGAAATATTTTTGGTGCACTGTGCAAACAAACAGGATCTGTCGCCAACGCTTCGACAGCAATCGAGTCATTGCGGACGAGTGGGCAAGTGGAGTGATTCTATGAATGATTCTCTGTCCGATTATCTCGTTTGCTGCCCCTATCGTCCGTGCACCTGTCTCTACTTCCCTACCTTCGTGACATCCCCACTTGCACCACCCGCCCCCCTTCCCCTCCCCACGGGCGATAATTTCGAGAGGCACTCGAGATGCGAGTTATCCTAGGCGAGAACAGTGTCAAACTTTCTGAGAGAGGTCTTGACGACACAGAGCACGGTGTTGAGTGTAATATCATGGTCAGTACGGGGAAGGACAATCAAGACCCTCACGATGAAGTGCATTGGAAGCAGGGTGGCCACTTCCCAGTAGCCTTTCGGATTCCTGAGCGAATTTTTTTTTACCAAAAATCAAAATTTAATTTGCCTAGATCGCAAAACAAGTTTAAGGCTTTTCGGCACCACTTGAAATATATTTACTGAACCGTTCTACAGTTGTGGGTGGCGAACGAAGATGGTCCTCACAAAGAACCGCAGAACTCAATGTCCCATATGCAGTTAAGACACTGTTAAACATATTTTCTGATTTCCCAACTCTTGCTCGGTGCGGAGCAACGGTATAATCAGAACACTTCTCCGTAGTCAAAAATAAAGCAATTTGCTATTTCAAAGCGAAATAGTTGTAAACTAGTCCTAATAATACTTCTAGAAGTTCAGCTGAAGTTAATCAATTTTTGATGACAACGAAGAAACGTTATCCTTCGATATTCCGACGTCGAAAAATTCAGAGCATCATGTTCCCAGTTTCCGGGACGTTCCCGGAGAGTGGCCACCCTGATTGCTTCAGGTGCGTTAGCCTTCGGGTGCTGTGACGAAGCTCTGGCTCTTGGCATCCCCTCCTCGTTGAGGTGGCGGCCCTGTCGTTCAGATGCACTCCAACCGCAGACCGCGGTCGGCGACCACAAGATACCGCGGCAGGGCCACAGACCTACAGAGACACACGGATCCGCCAACTCTGATCCGGATAACGACCCTGGTGCCATGCTGCCGGGCACCCACGGTCAGATAATAGCCCCCCTCTACATCGCAATCGTTCGTAAACCGGCTTATCAAAACTGGAACGGCAATCGAGGCAATCTTTATTAAAAAAGGGCAAACTTTAACCTTCGGGTACAGATATAGCCACATTCAAAGGTGTGTCGAAACAAAACGATCTTAAAATCCAACAAGCTTCAAATTTGTCGAAATGTCATCGAAAGTGGGCGAGGTACCCTAGAACTTTAGAAGTTTCCAAAAGTGTGCGTGTGCTTATTGCAAGTTGGTTGAGGCGGTTCCTCGCAGTCATCTCAACAAGAAGGAGCCTCCTGACGCCAGTGCCAAACACCAAAAGCCCCGTTACGGGTTCGGCGGACGGGAGACGGTGGTAACACCGGTGGCGCCGGCCGGCGTGTCGGCGCAGCATAGCAGCGTGTCAGACGCCCGGACCCGGAGGCCCCGGGGGCGCCGGACGGCCCAGCCGAGCGGAGGCGGGACGGACACGGGTCTAGAGAGAGTGATCAATCGCGCCAGACCGGCACCGGGAGGCAGCGGACGCGACCGGCAAATTACCACGGCGGCGCGCCACGCCAAGCCACGCCATGCTGCGCCACGCCACGCCCACCGTCCATTACACGGGCCGGGCGGGCCGGGGACCCCAGGAGGTGTGAACCGGGCGGATTGAAAGGTATACACGAGGAGGAAAGAGATAGCCCGCTATTCCCACATTAGCATGTCGGCCAAGAGAGAGGGGGGAGGGGAAAGTGGAAGCGGGGGAAGGCTGGTTGATTCAGAAGCGGCAGCCGGACGCGGACGCCCGGATTCAGTTCCAACAGGTGCTCTGAAAATGCTACAAGTCAACAGTCCCAACGAGAAGTCGACACATAGTGGGATCCCACTGTTGCAGCTCGCAGCAGCAGTGAGACACCGCTGTTTCCATTCTAACAACCACCATAGAACAGCCGCATCGATGCAACGGTGAGAGCAAATGCGAGCCGTTGAGCTCGCCGATGAAAAGGAGTCCGTCTGGCCATTTTATCTGCCCCTGCCTCACCTTGCTTGCGGGTGGGGCGGCCTCGGTCACCCTCCGGCCCATGCAGCCCGCAAGCCTCCCCCCAT